CTTGGCTCCACCAGAGCACCTGTTGATATTTTCTCGGTTAGTGCAGATGATGCAGAACAGGGTCTGCATCACATCGTTTAGTGAACGAAAGAAAACCCTTGAATGGTTGATACCCTAGCATAGTGTAGTTAGTAGTTGAAATAATCAAAAAAACTTGTGAATAAGGTTAGGTTTTTTTTTTCTGGATTGGTTGGGGTATAATAGATGAATTTTATAGCATAGGTATACAAGCACGTTTGAATGCAGACTGGGAGTAAATTTCTGCAACTGAGAGTCTTTTTTTCTGTTTTTTTTTCCTTCACTTCATGTACTTTGGTTGGCCCAGACTGCCTGCAAACTCCAGAGAAGTTGTAGTACCAATTTTGTGATCTCACCCCCCCTCTTCCTCCCAAATATTCTAATGACCTGTTCTATTGATTTCTCATTGTGGTTTCTTCATGTTCATGGTTTCCATCATAAGCAACAAATTGGGTTTGATCAAACCGGCGGTTCTCTTCTTTTTCATTTTAGTTTTTATTTTTATTTTTTGGGTGTTGAACATTTGGGAAAAAGTATTACTATTCTAAGAGCTACTAAAGTATATTTGTAGTTGGATTTTAAGTTGGTTAATGTGAATGGACAAAAATATAATTCAGGGGGTTAAGTTCGATTAGAGGGATAGTACTGCTTAAAATTCTTTAAGACAATGACTGATATAATTATTTAATTTAGAAAACGAACTAATTAAACCTCGGTCCACATTCTCATCTTCAGTCTAAATTTCGTACCATCCAGAACACGTTGGGGTCTTGTTCAACCAAGTCATTTTCTTTTTCACACTTTCGTGGAAGTTATGAAACACGACATATTATGTTGACCAGAATAGTCAAAGCATGTAGCTTACTTCCTTGGAGCAAGACTAGCAGACAGACCAATGACGTGGTCCTTGGAAATTAAGCAAATTTGAAACTAGTTGGAAAATGTTATGCAGGTTCTTACTTCCTGTCTCAAATAAAAAATCTAGTTTGTCATGTCTGATACGAAATAAAACCGGCCAATTTCACATCTCAACCCATCTATCTTTCTCTCTCTAGTTACCCAATTCAAAATGGGGGTTTTGGTTTTAAGACTCATCTTAATATACTCATTCTTTAGCACGTTAGTCTACTGTGGGAGCTCATTGCCAGGAAATGTGACAGATAGGTTTGCATTGCAAGCCATGAAAGCTCAAATACTGCAAGACCCCCATAGGGTCTTGAGCTCATGGAAAGACTCCATTCACTTTTGCCTATGGCAAGGTGTCAACTGCAGTCTACAGCATCATCAGAGGGTCATTAGGCTAGATCTCCAGTCTCAAAATTTAGTGGGAACCATATCCCCACACATAGGCAATCTAAGCTTCTTAAGGGAACTACATCTCCAAAACAACAGCTTCAGTCATCAAATCCCTCTGGAAATCGGGCATTTACGCAGATTGCAGGTACTTCGTCTAGACAATAACTCACTTAGTGGCTCTCTTCCTGTCAATGTTTCTAATTGCCTCAGCCTCATCAATCTCAATGTTGGCTACAACAACTTGGTGGGTAAAATATCGCCAGAAATCAGCACCTTGTCGAAGCTTCAAAGCCTTGTTCTGCAAGCTAATCACTTAACAGGAGAAATCCCTCCTTCCCTTGGTAATCTTTCATCTCTGATGATACTTGGTGCAAATGATAACAACTTGAAAGGAAGCATTCCTAGCTCTTTAGGTCAATTGAGAAATTTAACAAATATCTCATTGGCCTCAAATACATTGTCTGGTAGTGTCCCTCCCTCCATCTACAACCTCTCTGCTCTCATTGCTTTTTCCTTGTCACAAAACCAAATTCAAGGGAGCATTCTCTCAGACTTGGGAAACACTCTTCCTAATCTCCAATACTTTCACATTTATGGGAACCAATTTACTGGGTCCATTCCTATGTCAATATCCAATGCCACAAGTCTAGTGGAATTGAATATTTCAGAGAACAAACTAACTGGGCAAGTGCCAAATTTGCAGAACTTGGTTAACTTAGAATTATTGGGCATGGGGAATAACAACTTCAAAGGTCATATCCCCAACGACATTGCGAAACTTTCAAGGCTTAGGAGATTGAGTCTTCAAAACAATGAATTATCAGGGAGCATACCTTCCTCTCTAGGAAATTTAACAATGTTAACCGAAGTCTTATTGCAAGGAAATAATCTTGAGGGTAGCATCCCTTCAAGCCTAGGGGAATGCCAGAGGCTGCTCCTTTTGAATCTCTCTCAAAATAACCTGGGTGGCCCAATACCTCAACATGTTATTGGCCTCCCCTCCTTATCAATTTCCTTGGACTTGTCTAGAAACCACTTTGTTGGTCCCTTTCCATTGAAGGCTGGACAGTTGAAGAGTCTAGGGGCATTGGACATTTCTGATAACATGTTAGCAGGAGAACTTCCCACTAGCCTTGGTAGCTGTTTGAGCTTAGAAGTCCTACACTTGCAAGGCAACTTGTTCAAGGGGCCTATTCCTTCTTCTATGATTTCACTGGAACGGATTCGAGATTTGGATCTTTCTTGCAACAATCTGCAGGGTGAAATTCCACAATTTTTACAGGGGTTTTCGTTCTTGAAAAATCTGAACCTATCTTACAATGAATTTCTGGGAGCTGTACCAGTTGAAGGTGTTTTTAACACTCTTAGTGTGACTTCAATTGTTGGAAACAACAGGCTCTGTGACGGCATTGCTGAGCTTCAGCTGCCCAAATGCAAACATTCTAAGGAGTCTAAGGGTGGAGGATTGTCTCATAGCTTCATTTTAGTAATCTCTATATCCGGGTTTCTAGGAATAGCTATGTTGCTGTCTCTTATATTTCTTCATCCGCTAAGAAAGAAGATAAGCAAAGAAACTGAAATGACAAGTTTGGAAAACTCTATATTGCAACTGTCATACTCTACTCTCCTAAAAGCAACTGATGGGTTCTCTTCCATTAATTTGATTGGTGTTGGAAGTTTTGGGTCTGTGTACAAAGGCCTACTTCTTGATGATGATAGAGCTCAGCTTGTTGCAGTGAAAGTGCTCAACCTGTTACGCCGGGGAGCTTCTAAGAGTTTCATAGCTGAATGTGAGGCCTTGAGAAATATCAGGCATCGAAATCTTGTCAAGATTTTAACTATATGTTCGAGTGTTGATTTTCGTGGCAACGATTTCAAGGCCCTGGTGTACGAGTTCATGGACAACGGGAGCTTAGAGGAGTGGTTGCATCCAACTACTCCAACAGAGGGGGTAAGAGATGCACCTAAGAACTTAAATCTTGCTCAGAGGCTAGACATTGCCATTGATGTTGCTTGTGCTCTAGATTATCTTCATAACCATTGTGGAACACCAATAGTTCATTGTGATCTCAAGCCAAGCAATGTTCTTTTGGACGACCGATTGACCGGACATGTATCTGACTTCGGACTAGCAAGATTTCTCCCTAAAGAAACTAGTAACGTTTCTTCAAATCAAATAAGTTCCACTGGCATAAGAGGATCAGTTGGTTATGTAGCTCCAGGTAATGTTCACAGTATCCTTTATCCTTTCTTATACAAATATAATGAGAAGAGAGTAATTTAATTCACATTTGTAGTGATAATTTGTGATGTTTGAACTGTAGAGTATGGTATGGGAAGTAAGGTGACAACATATGGGGATGTCTACAGCTTTGGCATTCTCTTGCTAGAGATGTTTACAGGCAAGAGACCCACTGACCACATGTTTAGTGAAGGCTTGAACCTACATAATTTTGTCAAGGTGGCTTTTCCTGAGGGAGTTACAGAAATTGCAGATCCACTACTTCTTCAAGGAGATCACACTGGAAGGAGAACCAATGACACTCAAAAAAAGCTGAAGTGCTTGTGTTTGATCTTTCAAATTGGAATTGCTTGTTCTGTTGAATCCCCAAGAGACCGAAAGGGTATTAGTCATGTTGCCTCTGAATTGCAATCCTTTAGGGACATTCTTCTTAGGTAGGCCTGAAAACTTTCTCTGCTCTCTTGTGAAGGCTTTAGAGGTTATCTAAATCTTTTACATCAAGAAAAGAATCTATGGTGCCAAATAGGGCTTTGACTTACAGAACAGTGGTCTCATGTTCGAATCCATGTGCCACCTCGCTTGTATTTAAAAAATAATAATCAGTGGCAAAATTGTGTGAAGAGTAAAAAATATTCACAACTGAGATACTTTGTGTGAAGAGTTCTGCCACATGTTGTAGTTCTATTGAAAAACAATCACTATGGTGTGTACTTTTATTCCCTCAAAATGGAATTTGGGTGTGCTCTTATTGTGTAATTTCTAAGTCGTTTACAGAAATTTAAGAGCTCTCTTCTCTTGTTGTAATGTAATTCCTAAATTTTAGTTTTTTTTATAAATATTTTCAAGATATCACTGTGTCATTTTTAATATTTGCTCTATAGTGTAAATTCATATTAGTAATCTCAGGTAGGAGTGGGCACGGTCCGGTTTGGTCCGGTTTCATCCTCAAACCACAGCTGAACCAATTAAAGTTTCACGGTCCGGTGTGGTTCGGTTTGAGCTAAAATCAAAATGAAAACCAAACCAAACCAAACCAAACCATTCATATCCGGTTTGGTGCGGTTTGGTTCGGCCGGTTTAGGCATAAAAGAAAACATCATTTTCTCCATGTAACCGAACATGTTCATTCTCAAGTTTCCTAATATCAAACACATAAAACATTCACTAATCATACAACCCAAAGAGGTAAAGAAAAAACAGAAGAAAGAAAACAAGCTGCAAGCAATAATAATTATTACAGAACATGATTCTCAAAGAAATACAATCCTATTGTGCTTAATTATATAGTTATTACAAATCATGATTTAAAAAACAGTGAATCCTTCCAAACAGCAGCCCCATCAGATTCAACACAACATTCTGCACATCAAAACAGTAAAATAGAACTTCTCTCCCTCTGCTGACATTCTCATTCTGCAAATAAAAACAACAATAATGAGTTTCATAAGAGTATTGTATGACACAAGCTCTGTTTCTTAAGAATACTAGTCCAGCAACATAAACACATAGCATATTACTCATTTTATCTCCTTATGGAACGTAGAGATGAATCTGAGCCCTACAATAACAAACCAACCCAAACTGAAGGCGAGTTACTGGACTAAAGAGGTCCACTCTGATGCATTAAGAGAAATAATAAATGCATTTCCTCTGGCATCAAATGAAAGCTGCATAGACTCTGTTGAAACCCCAAAAACATTTGCACTGCAGTAGAATACAAGGATCAATAAAAAAAAACATAGGTGTATCCATTCCCAATTTTCACTACATTAAGGATCATGCCAAATCAACTCAAAAAGTCACATAAACAGGAACAAACAGGTAAAAATTGTTGAGTCCAAAGATTATTCTCTGCATAACATTTAGATATAGATTGCAGGGATTCTGCGCCTCTTTAACTTAGGTGACTGGGAATGGAAAGAGCGCTCTCCATTTTCCATGGGCAATTGTCCCAATCTTACATCAGAATGACTACCATTAAGTGAAGCAATTGTTCTCAACAACTCCAAATGTTGCATTGCCTCTACGACCCCCATTCCAACTCTGAAACCAATGTAGTGAAATGCTCAAAAACCTAAAACCATAGTAATCATTAGGAACACTACGTTAACTATGCAAACAACTCAATATTGATGCATAAGATAATCTAGTTCATTTTCCCACTACTTTCTCAGTACCCAAACAGAAACCAAAATCCAAGGAACCCAATCTAATTTACAGATTGAAATAATCAGATGAAAAAATAAAAAATACCTGAATATCTTCTTCGAGTATGAATAGTTTCAAAGCGTCCAGCTGAAATAGAAAATTCATATATCAACGAGATGACGATGAACACACATAATTGATGGCTCCTTGTTTCAATTTACTGGCAGGACCATTTCCTTCTGCTGCAAAGAATAGCAAAATCACAATAATTAAAAGCTCTGATGACAAATAAATTACAACTAGAAATTGAAGATGGAAACTACTCCACAATTGACTCAGAATTCAACTCCCCTAGCTTTTGTTGTATTATCTCAGCAGCCAAACACAAGCTCAAGCTCTCACAGAACATAAACCAGAAGACATTGATCGAAAATCAACATTCAAAATCAAAAACTCACAAAGTGAAAGCACGCGGGAAGGCTTGTGAGCAGGCATATCTTCTTCCCCGGGAAGTTCTTTACCGCCCAAAGCAGCGTCGTTTCGCTCTCCTTCACGTCCTTCCCCACCGCAACGACGAGATGACATAAATTGCTTTTAGCTGCCAGAAGCAACAACCTACTGCCCTCTCGAACGACGATTGACGGCTAGGGGCGGGAGAGGTAGAGGTGGAGTGTAGAGCAGAGAGACAGAGAGAGAGAGAGTGATGATGAGAGGGAGTTGCGGCTAGGGTTGAAACGAAGGAAGAAGAGAGAGAGAGGCTCAAGAGAGAGAATGGGGTCTGTGAGTATTAGTTTTGGAGTCCAATCAGGTGTGCTGAGGTACATGGTACACTTTCAACTAACCACTCAAGCCTTGCCACATGTAAATTAAATTAAACAAATAATAAATTGATTTATAATCGGTCCGGTTTGGTTTAGGACAGTTTTCAAAACTCCCAAACCGCAGCCGAACCAAACCAAACCGGTTCGGATCGGTTTTTGAAACTGTTGACTTTTTCTTTGGTCAAAACCAACCCAAACCAAACCAATATAATCGGTTCGGCCGGTGTAACCGGATCGGCCGGATTGATGCCCACCCCTAATCTCAGGTTAGAACGTTTTTGACATCTTTAATTTAGACTATCGCTCGTTTTTTTTTTATAAAAAAAATGTAGTTTACTAATTTTTCAAAACACAAATAGCATCGCAACGACTCATATCAAATCAAGCAAACATATTAGCTTTTTGAAATGTTTTTCTTCTTTTATTACAAAAATTCTAAATTTAAATTTTTCTCAAAAAAATAAAAATTACAACTATACGGTCTCTCAATTCTTAAAAATAGTGGAAAGGTTCATTCCCGTGAGAAAGATGCTTCATCTCTGCAGAAGCTATTGTCAAACGTTTTGCTTGGGAACCCAATCAGATTCAGGAATTGGAGCCCTGTTTATTGAATTTCCCCAAGCTCTGTCATCAAACCCATCTTTTATAGGGCGTGGCAAACTGAGAATATGAGTGCAAGTAGCTTGGTTGCAGAGGCAGTTTGGAAGGCCATTGAATCAACTGGTTCAGGTCCTTTCTCTTTTCCTTCTTTTCTCTTTCTAATTTATATGTTTTTTGTTTTCTTGTTCTTCTTTTTTGTTTTTGAGTATTTCCCACTTAAAAGACATAACCTTTGCTTTCATTTTTTATAAATATAATGTCGGCATTGATGAGAAGGAACTAATTGAAATGGCTGAAATGGGACAGTGACCGATGATCAGCTCTCCATGTTAGTCTCATCTCATTTCAAATTCTTTGTTAAACCCTTTTGAGAAAAGCTGAAAATTTTGTTCCAATAATGTCTGTTGCGGTCAAAATTCAGCTTGCATTTAGTGTTCGGTAAGAACTTGGAGAGAGCAACAAGGATAGTGGATCAAAGAGGTGTCAAGAGGGTTTTGGGTGAGCCCAGTGGACGTTCTATCTTTCAGGTTTGACTTTTATTCATATCATTTTCTGGGTTTCAACTGAATTTAGTATTTCAGGTATGCACATTGAAGCAGTTTGGGCAGAATTTTGAATGTAGATGACTTGAAATTTGAGCAACAAGTTTATCTTTATGGCTGGGAACTGCCAAGAAATCTCTTGGAATTTGTTTAGTTGTTTAATGTTCATGTTCAGCCAAAAGGATAAGAAATTTGGTAACTCTTTTCAAAAATAAGAAATTTGGTAACTTATGCAAATCAATTCAGGGGAAAGAATCATGTTTGTTTGGGCCAAATAATTATAAATTTATGTTAACTTCTTAAGTAGAAAGAAAACTTAAATCCCAGTTCTCATTTTATGTTGTCTGGTTAGGTCGTAGGAGAATCCCGGAGGAAGGAGGAGTACTTCTGTTTTGCTGAGCACTATTGTGCTTGTTATTCATTCTTCTATGACATTGTAAACAGAGGAGAGCAGCTTTGTGTGAGATTCCTCAATTGCTTGTCATTATTTAGTTCCCTGAAACTAAAGAAAATAACAAGTTCGTTCGTATTTTTACTTTGTTTCTTCTTGTCCAGTGTAAGCATCAACTAGCTGCAAGGCTTGCTGCATCATTAGGAGCATGCGTTGAAGTTAAGGTGTCTGATGAACAGTTGGCTCTACTGCTTTCTAAACTCTGACATACGTGGATGGCCGAAATTTAGAATTAGGAGTTGAAGAGTACCGCAAGAGCAGGTCACATTATCTGAATTTTAACATAATCAGTGGAAGAAATATAGAGGTAGTGCCTCCAATTTAGGTTATGGAAATGTTGATGGACTAGTTTCTAAACATTGCATGTATTCTGTGCTTGGAACTGCTACCAGCATGATCTGAAATCGCCTCATTCTTCTTATTGAAGCATTTACTTTATAAAACCTTCTCGGTTCGTTTGCATTTTGTGAATTCTCCAACTTTCCCTACTAGCCATCAAGAATACAGTTGTCATGTTTCAGAAATGGCTCTTCCCTTTAATTATTTGTTTCTGTCATGTCTCCAGGAACTGCTCATGAGATGCAGGTAGGTGATGATATTGTAGACAAGTTTGTAATTCAGACCCTTCATGTGGTTCTTTGGGGAAATCATATAGGATTTGCTAATCATCTTTCACATCACATTTTCCATTTTGTTGTAGAAAATGGTTGATTGTATATGTGAATCAGTAAAATCCCTATTTGCTGCTTTTGTGAATTGATCTTCCAGGTTGATAATTGACAATACATTTGGCCATAACAAAATCTTTGGATGGTAGATTTGTAATTTACGGTAGTCGATTTATATGGTTGGGTTAAACAGTTTTCTACTTAAAATAATTTATATCCTGATGCTTCAGTTTTCTTAATATCTCAACAACTTAACTCCCTAATGAATTACATGAGAGGGGTATTTATAGCAAACTTAAACCTATCCCTTGCTAAAACAGATATTCTAACCTAAATAAAATAGGAAACTTAGAAATCCTAACTTGGAAAACTTAAAAATCTTACTAAAATTTGGAGAACTTACCCTCCGTTCGGATGAGGGAAAATAACTCAGAATTTAGCTAAAAGTTGGGAATTTAAGAGGAGAAATTGATAATTCCCTTATTTGGCAACTTAAGCGCGGAATTTATTAAATGATGCACGGAAAAAATTGTGGAAATTGGGGCATCAAATTCCCGAGTTTAATTTCCACCAAAATATGCGTCATTTCACAATTTCCATAGAGACATTCACAAAATTCTGTCATTTACAAATTCCGACATACATAAATCCAAATCATGAAATCTTCAATTGCCGGAAATTGAAATGATGGAAATCTAAATTCCGTCATTTTAGAAACTAATCGCAAGAATCAAATATTGCCAGATTTAAAGACCAAATTAAATGACTTCCTCTTCCATCTCTTTATTTTGTAAACCCTAAGGCCCCGTTTGGTTCACGGAATGAATTTGATGGGAAATCATTTCCCATGTCATTTCCCAAGGGATGGGAAATGGTGATTCCTTTCCCATGTTTGGTAATGCAGGGAAAGTGACCCGGAAATATCACTTTATTTCATTTCCCATGTTTGTTTTGAGTAGGAAGGGAAAACAAATTTTGTTTAGTCTCCCAATTGTATCCCTATTAAAATAATATTAAAATACCAATAATTGTTGGATAAAAACTGTAATTATGAATTGTTAGTAAGGACAAATTAGTCATAAGAAAAGTTAGTCTTACTTTCCCATGGGAAGGGAAAGTGAAACCCAAGTAGGAAGGAAGGATTCACTTTCCCTCATACTTTCCCATGTGCTAGGCAACGTTTTCCCATGCCTGACTTACCAAACATGGGAAAGCAATTGGTTTCCCATCCCCAAGACCCATGAACCAAACGCAGCCTACTTGGTTTGACAAAGATGTCCTCATCAATAACCCCACAAATACATGTGGATTGTTTGTACTGATTTGGCCTTAAGTGATGCATCTAGCTGAATTACAAAAAAAAAAAAAAAAAAAAAGGGACTTGAAATCATTGTAATGTAAGACCAAAATTCATGGACTTAATTCATAATTCACACAAAATTACAAAGCCAATAAACCCTAACCACCCAGATTTTGTATTACAACCTTAACAAAACAATTATAACAGCAACATAAGAAAACCAAACCAACAAGACAAAGGAACAAAAACAAGAAAAACGAAAAAAGAACTTAGGCCCCACCACCACCACATCAAGGAACAAGTCTGTAAGATTTCATCTTATCAATCCAAGTTACAAATGATGTCCTTGAGTTCCTGAACCCCACAAAGCCATGCTCTTTGCTCTTGTTCATACTGTCCACACTTGACTCTATCCCAAACATGACATCCACAAACCACCAATTCCCAATCTCTTCCAATTTTGTAGGCACCAGACCATTCTCTCTCACAATCTCATCCCACACTGGCCCCTTATCTTTCATCATCTCCTCCATGCTCGGCCTCGATTCACCCTCGTCAGCATCATCAAAGTCCTCAAACTCCATGTCAAACTGTTCTGCCAAAACCCTCCACAAATGCTTCCACTTATACACATCCCCATTGCTGCAATTGAAAGCCTCATTCTTTGCATAAGGATCAACTGCTGCCCATATCTGATGCTCAGCAATCAGGTCAGCATCTGAGACATCCCAGTACCCGTTCCACGCTCCTCTGCTCCCCGAAAACCTCAGTTTCTTCCCTACGTGCTTACATATCGCAGCGTAAACACACAAACTCCCCACTATGTTCATCAAGCTATACGGCGAAAACCCGAAAATCACACTAGGCCTGTGCACTGACCATGTCAACCCCTCCTTCACCTCCTCAAACAAAATGTCCTCCAATGTGTAGTAAAAGTTGGGCACGTTGAGCCTCGGGAGGTCCTCATGAAACGGAGGCTCATGAGGCTCAACTTTTCCCAACATCTCAAATGAACCAACGTAATGCTTGCGACCTGTTTGCAAGCATATGTGGTGCAAATTTGGTGCATTTGGGATCACAGCATCCAACAAGTTTCGAAACATGTTGCCATTGGCCTCGCAGTTCTCTGCTTCCGTGGGCTTGCTGGCCCAAGTGACGTAAAAGATGTGTGTGACATCGGTGAGTTGGGAGAGTTCAGAATGCGTTTGATGAGGGTCTGAGAGATCACATTGGATGTACTCGATGGAATGATCAGCATTCCAATCCGGGCGGGCCCTGAGGGGCTACCCCATAGACCTTCCAGGGCCCACCAGGGGTGTCGGGGAGTGGCAGGATCTCGGCAAGGCTATTGCCCACGATCCCCGTGACCCCCGCCACCAGTGCCACGCTCTGGTACTTGGGTGGTGCATCGTTGGGATCAAACTTTTTCTGGTTGTTGATGGTTTTTGCGGGAGAATTGTTAGCAGGGATGATCATGGAAATTGGAACTCAATCAATTGAAGAAAAAAAAATTGATGGGTTTGAGGAGAAAGTGCTTACCTTTGCAGCTCCTATGGCTCCTGCCCACCACCAGCTCATTGTTGTGCTGTTTGGTTGCACCCAAATTGACCAAGGGTCTCAAAGTCTCAATGCTTCCAGTGTCTTCTACACTACTAGTTTCTGAGTATATTATATTGTTGGTTTCATGGTAGGATTATGTGGTGGGAAAATCTTATCCTTAAATTTTGGCTGGTGATTATCCCTTTTTTCTGCAATTCATGTCTGGTTTTTCTTTCGGTTTGTCGCCATCATTTCAATTTTTTGGACAATTGGTACGTTTTACATGCATGTGCATTTGGGTTGTCATGACTCTCCCTTTCATGTGATTTGTTGCTCATATGTCTGAGTCAGTTGTAATGATGTGATAAACTCGTTAAAAGAAACATTTTGGTATTTGGTTGGATCTTTGTTTAGTACAAATTCGTAGATAATGAGATTTGTTATTCATTCTTCTATGACATTGTAAATAGAGGAGAGCAGTTTTTTGTGAGATCCTCTCTTGCTTATCATTATTTAGTTCCCTGAAATTAAAGAAAAGTATAAATAAATAAATAAAATTTGTTCTTATTTTTGCTTTGTTTCTTAGCATCAACTAGCTGCAAGACTTACTGCATCATTGGGAGCGTGCATTGAAGTTAAGTTGTCGAATGTGCTAAAATATGAATATGGTTTGAATATTTTAGGTTATTGTATTCTCTTCATAAGGAGGTATATATAGGAGTTTATAAGGGTGATTTACAAGGAAATGGATACATTAATTAATTAGGATATCTCCTAATTATACAAGGATGCGTCAACTATATAAAACAAGGAAGTAAATCACCTAATTAACTTAGGAAATAAATCTCCTTGATTTAGTAAGTTAACTCACATCAACACTCCTCCTCAAGTTGGTGCATACACGTCACCAATGCCCAACTTGGTAAGTGAGTCATAAAACACTCGTCCACAGACGGCTTTTGTTAAGACATCCGCTAATTGATCTTCTAATTTTACAAAGGGTAGACATATGAGCTTGTTCTCAATTTTTTCTTTGATGAAATGTCTATCCACCTCAGCATGTTTAGTTCAATCATGTTGAACTGAATTATGAGCAATATTGATAGTTGACTTGTTATCACAATATAACTCCATTGGCTTCTCTAGTTTAAAACCAAATTCTGTCAAGAGTCCTCTGATCCACAATAATTCACAAACTCCTTGAGCCATTCCTTAATACTCTGCTTCTACACTAGACCGAGCAACCACATTTTATTTTTTACTTTGCCAAGTGACTAGGTTACCTCCAACAAATATAAAGTAACCCAATGTAGAGCGTCTATCTGTAATAAAACCAGCCCAATCAGTATATGTATATCCAACAACTTCAAGATTTCCATTCTTTGATAACATTAATCCATTTCCAAGGGCTGACTTTAAGTATCTTAAGATCCGATCAACTGCATTCCTATGAGAAACACTGGGTGAATGCATAAACTCACTAACCACACTCACAGCATATGCAATATCTGGTCTTGTATGTGCCAAATATATCAACCTTCCAACAAGACGCTGATATTGTTTTTTATTGATTGGCAACCAGTCCATGTCTTCACACAACTTGTGATTCATCTTAATAGGTGTGTCAACAGGCTTACATCTAAGCATTCATGTTCCAGTGAGTAGATCCATCACATACTTCCTTTGAGACAGAAATATACCAATTTTTGACCTTGCTACTTCAATTACGATGAAGTATTTTAGAGCACCTAAATCCTTCATCTCAAATTCCTAAGACAAATACTTTTGTAGCTTATGTTGCTCTCCTGTGTCATTCCCAGTTATGACCATATCATCCACATAAACAATTAATGCAGTGATTTTTTCTTCATCACTCTTCAAGAACCTGGTATGGTCTAAATTACTTTGAGTATATCCAAAATTCTTCATGCACTTAGTAAATCTGCCAAACCATGCCTTGGGAGATTGTTTTAACCCATATAATGATTTTCTGAGCTTGCAAACTTGATTTTTCTTGTCATGAGCTAAATTACATCCTAGTGGTAAATCCATGTATACCTCTTCTTCCAAGTTTCCATGTAAGAATGCTTTTTTAACATCGAACTGATGTAGTGGCAAATCTAGATTTTCTGCTAGAGACAATAGGACTCTGATAGTGTTGATCTTGGCTATTAGGGCAAAGGTCTCCTGGTAGTCCACCCCATATCTCTGTGTGTACCCCTTCACCACCAATCTAGCGTTATATCTTTCAATGGATCCATATGCTTTAAGTTTCACAATATATATCAACATGCATCCCACTGTCTTCTTTCCATGAGGTAATGGCACGATCTCTCATCTAGAATTCTTCTGGAGAGCTCGCATTTCTTCATTCATGGTTTCTTTCCATTTTAAGTCTTCGTTTCTGTCACGACCCGACTCCCCTAGCACGATATTGTCCGCTTTAGGCCCCCCTCTCTGCCCTCACAGTTTTGTTTCTGGGAGCTCACGAGCAACTTCCCAGTGGGTCACCCATCCTGGGATTGCTCTAGCCCCTAACTCGCTTAACTTCGGAGTTCCTAAGAATCCAAAGCCAGTGAGCTCCCAAAAGGCCTCGTGCTAGGAAGAGAAGTGCCCACACATTTAAAACACTACACCTTTCCCTCCCCGAGCGATGTGGGATTCTCACCGTTCTTGTTTCCCCAAGACACGGGTCTTACAATCCACCCCCCTTGGGGCCCAGCGTCCTCGCTAGCACACTTCCGATCGGGGTCCGGCTTTGATATCATTTGTCACGACCTGACTCCCCTAGCACGATATTGTCCGCTTTGGGCCCCCCTCTCTGCCCTCACGGTTTTGTTTCTGGGAGCTCACGAGCAACTTCCCAGTGGGTCACCCATCCTGAGATTGCTCTAGCCCCTAACGCGCTTAACTTCGGAGTTCCTAAGAATCCGAAGCCAGTGAGCTCCCAAAAGGCCTCGTGCTAGGTCTAGAAGTGCCCACACATTTAAAGCACTTCACCTTTCCCTCCCCGAGCGATGTGGGATTGCTCACCGTTCTTGTTTCCCCAAGACATGGGTCTTACAATCCACCCCCCTTGGGGCCCAGCATCCTCGCTGGCACACTTCCGGTCGGGGTCCAACTCTAATACCATTTGTCACGACCCGACTCCCCTAACACGATATTGTCCGCTTTGGGCCCCCCTCTCTACTCACGAGCAACTTCCCAGTGGGTCACCCATCCTGAGATTGCTCTAGCCCCTAACTCGCTTAACTTCGGAGTTCCTAAGAATCCGAAGCCAGTGAGCTCCCAAAAGGCCTCGTGCTAGGTCGAGAAGTGCCCACACATTTAAAGCACTTCACCTTTCCCTCCCCGAGCGATGTGGGATTGCTCACCGTTCTTATTTCCCCAAGACACGGGTCTTATAGTTTCAGTCACACTACTGGGGATAGATATCAGCCAACTGTTTTACAAAGTATACATGTGACTCTGACAATCTGCTTAGAGATATATAATTATTGGTGGGATATTTTCCTTTGGCTTTAAGATCTGCTTCATATTATACTCAAGGTTTACCACGGTTCTTGTTTTCTAGAAGTTGGTATATAAGGGTATTTGTATCCTTTATACTTTCTGAAATCAAATCATCATGGTATATTTCATTAGTGTTATCAATTTCAGGGGGAGATGTTACCTAAATAACTTCCTCAGAAAGTGATTGGTGTGGTGCTAAAGCTGAAAGCGGGTCCAAAGCAGGCAAAATCTCATATAACAGTTCAACTTTCTCTTCCTGATTTTGATAGCATGGAGTCGACCGGTCGTTTTCCATTGGTGACTAGTCGTGTGGGAGAGGCGACCGGTCGCTTTAAGGCAGAGATCCCTCTTGTGTACGGATAAAGGGAGGCGACTGGTCGCTTTGATGCTGAGTCTCTTCTGTTGTGAAAAAGTCCAGAAAAGTAAGGGTGTTTGGCTCTAGATTCTCCTCTTGTGATTCTCTAAAAATATATGTCGTGTTCCTGGAACACTACATCAATGGAGGTATAGATCTTCTTACTTGGAGGTTGATAAAATCGATAGCCTTTATGATGAGGGCATAGGCAATGAAAACACACTTTTCTGCGCGGGGATCCAATTTGTTGCGTTGGTGATCATGTAAGTGTACGAATACAACATAGCCGAAAATCTATGGTCCAAGGTTTCAGGTGGGAGGTATTTGGAGATGGTGGTGAAGTGTTTGAAGAGAAGTTTGCAAATTCAAGATACTTGAGGGAATCCTATTTATAAGGTAAGTTGCAGAGAGGACGACATCGCCTCAAAAAGATCGAGGCATGTTGGCACCAAATAAAAATGCACGAACGACTTCGAAGATGTCGGTTCTTTCACTTAGCCACCTCATTTTATTGGGGAGTATATGGAAACGGGCGTTGATGTATGATGCCATGATCCTGTAAGAATTTGTTGAGATCGTGATTAAGAAATTCTCCACCATTGTCAGAACGGAAAACCTGGATTTGGGCATGAAACTGAGTCGCCACCATTTTATGGAATTTTTGAAACGTTAAACTGACTTCCCATTTGGTTTTGAGAAGGGAACCCCAAGTCATTCAGGTGCAGTCATCAATGAAAGTGACAAACCATCGAGCTCCAGCTTGAGTAGCGATTTGAGCAAGCCCCTAAACATCATAATGAATAAGGGAGAAGGGAACCAAACTTTTATTTGTACTTAATGGGAACGAAATACGATGGCTCTTAGTCAATTCACACGTATCACACTAGAAGCTGGAAATATCAAAACTGGAAAATAATTATGGAAACAACTTCTTCAGATAACCGAGCGAGGCATGCCCAAGACGTTTGTGCCATAACCAAACTTTGTCTCTCTACCTCTCAAAACTAGCTCCACTTGTTGTGAAAGCTTGACCAACCTTGATTTCACTATCTAGTGCCTAGTCCAAATAGTAGAGTTTGCCCCGCCTAGTACCACAACTAATCGTCTTCTTTGTGATGATGTCTTGAAAAACACAATAATTCGGCCAAAATATTACAATACACCCTAAAATAGTAGTAAGTTGTGCAACAGACAACAAGTTATGATCCAAAGATGGAACAATCAATACAAAATCTAGATGGATGGAGTTAGAGAGAGATAGAGAGCCTTCCTTAACCATAGGGGAGTGGGTACCATGTTGTTGTCGGATCAGCTGCGTCAAAATTGATTTAGCTGCATTCTCAACTTGTGATATTCGCAAGTGCACAAGCCATTGGAAAGTATAGCATATGTAAGTACGAGATCGATCCCACGACGATTGATGATAGATTGATTCAATTTGATTCCCTACACAAAATAGAAAATAAGAAAGAAAATAATATAAAAGAAAGAAAAGAAAAGAAAAGAAACTAACTCAACCAAATAAGTTACCAAGTTCAATTCAGATTCTCAGATTGATTC